AAGAATGACTGCTAGCTGCCTCTTGATATCTAGACCCCTTAAGAACAGAGCCTCATTTTACATTTGGACACACCGCCCTACAGCTAAAAGACTACAAACCTCACTTCAGTACAGTAAAAGAAGCAATTAAGAATGTGGAGAGAAGCAGGCATAGTGGCGCATGCCTGTAATTCCAGTTGTTTGGGAGGCTTAGGCAGGAGGATTGTGAGTTCAAAGCCAGCCTCAGCAACTTAGCTAGGCCCTAACTCAGTGAGACTCTATCTCTAAATAAAATACAAAAAAAGTTCTGGGGATATGGCTCTGTGGTTAAGTTCCTTTGAGTTCAATCCCTGGTACCAAAAAAAAAAAAAAAAGTGAAGAGAGAACCTACAGAGTGGGGAAAATCTTTGCTAGATACTCTTCTGATAGAGGAATAATATCTAGAACAAAGAACTCAAGAAACTTACCCATACACATACACACACACACACAAAAAAAACCTCAATAAATCAGCAAATGAACTAAATAGATGCTTCTTAAAAGAATAAATAGAAATATCCAACAATGTATGAAAAAATATTCAGCATCATTAGCAATAATGGAAATGCAAATCAAAACTACACCGACATGGGGCTCAGGCTGTAGTTCAGTGGTAGAGCGCTTGCCTTGTAAGGGTAAAAGAAATTGAAGTTAAAGCGTAAAAGTTAAAGGGTAAAAGACCGGGTGTTGTAAAGTTTCTAAGCTGCAAGGTCTGAGTTAAAATGTAAAGGATTAGGTATTGTTAGGTTTCTATGCTACCTGCAAAACCTGAAATTTCTGTAGCTGTTAAGACAATGCTTGGAACTGCCCAGTAAATATTTCCCCTGACTATTTGGTTGTTTAATAAGGGCTCTGTGTGGTCGCACATAGGCATTGCAGGGCCTGGACCAATCAGTTTAAATGTAACCCCCTCCTTAGGAATGACCTATCACTCCAGCCTGACCTGTTCCCGCCAATGAATGAACTAATCATGTTTAGGAGTTGTTGTTCAATTTTCCCGCGCCTCATGATGATTTGTTCTGATGTATACAAAGCCCTCCGCCCTCCCCAAAAAGTGTTCTTAAGCAGTGCTCAGCCCCTGCTCGGGGCTCTGGCTGCTTTCCCTTCTTGAGTGGGCACGGAGCCCCAGCATGCTGGTTCAATAAATCCCCTTCTGCCAATTGCATGAGTGGTCACTTGGTGGTCTCTTTCTCCGACGCTTCGCCTGACCCTTACAGCCTAGCATGTGTGAGGCACTGGATTCGATCGACCCTCAGCACCACATAAAAATAAATAAATAAAATAAAGATATTGTGTCCACCTAAACTAAAAAAGATATTTAAAAATATTAAAAAAAAAACTACACCGACATTTCATCTCACAGCAGCCAGAATGGCAGCCATCAAGAATACAAACAATAGTAAATGCTAGAGAAGATGTGGAAGAAAAGGAACACATTTATGCTGTTGATGGGATTGTAAATGTAATTATGATTTAGATATTAGGTGGCCCCCCCCAAAGCTCATGTGTGAGACAATTCAAGAAAGAAGTGAAATGAGTGGGTTATGAGAGTATTAATCTAATCAATTCATTAACCCCCTGATAGGGATTAACTTGGTAACTATGGATATGTAAGGCGTGGCTAGAGGAGAGGGTCACTGGGGGCGTTCCTTTTGGGTGTATATTTTGTTCTTGAAGAGAGGAGCACCCTTTCTTCCTCTCCCTGTGCCCTGTTCCCCTGCTTGCTGATTTTCAGGTCTTGAGCTGCTTCCCTCTACCATGCCCTTCCACCATGAAGTTCTACTTCACCTCAAGCCCCAAGGAATGCAGCCAGCCATCTACGGATTGAGACCTCTGAAACCATGAGCTCCCAGATAAACTTTTCCTCCTCCGTGTTGTTTTTGTTGGACCTTTTGGTCACATCAGTGAAAAAGCTACACAGTGAATTAGTACAAGCCCTATGGAAGTCAACACGGAGGTTCCTCAAAAGACCAAGAATGGAACTACTGTATGATCCGGCTATACCACTCCTTGGTGTTTATCCTAAAGAATTAAAATCAGCATACTGTGGCAATATATGCATACCCATGTTTACAGCAGCACAATTCACAAGAACCAAATTATGGAACCAGGCTGGTTGTCCATCAGTAGATGAATGGATAAAGAAAATGTGGTATATATCCACGATGCAGTTTTCTTTGGCCATAAAGGAGAATGAAATTATGTCATTTGCAGGAAAATGGATAGAACTTGAGAACATTACATTGAGTGAAACAGGCCCAACTCAGAAAGTCAAGGGTCGTATGTTTTCTCTCATCTGTGGAATCTAGAGAGGAAAAAGGAAAAGAAAGTTGTGGGGGGATCTCATGGAAACTGAGATCCTGGAGGAGAGAAGGGAAAGAAGAAATACTCCTCGTGGATGATGTTGGCCAAGTAATATTGTTATATTGTGTGCATGTATGAATATGTAGCAGCAAATCATACTATTATGTACAACCCCAATGTACCAACCAAAAAATATGGGGTGAGGGGAGATCACATGTCTCCATATCCCTTGAAGCTCTGTTGGCCATGTGATTAAGTTCTGACCAAGGAGATAGAAATGAAAGTATTATGTAGAACATCTGAGAAGCCTGCCCTAAAAGAAAGGGCCACATTCCTTTTCAACCTTTCTTATTCTGCTCCCTCCAACTAGGATATGATATCCAGAGCATCAACATCCATCTTGGACAATGAAGAAAAAGAAAGTGAAAACTGGGAAAAAACCCTCATCCTGAAGACCCAGGAATTCCATACCACCTTATGAAGGATGAATATTCTTCCTAATTATAAATTGCTATTTTGGGGAGTTTTAATCACATGGAGACTAATCCAATCCCTACTGGTTTATCAAAGCCTGTACTCCTTCACCACAGCACAGCCTTCAAGACACAAAAAATGCCTCTGTGTGACTGCTGGATTTAAAGCACTCCTTATTGTCACTTGTTAGTGTTCCTTTGGACATCCCTTGAACTGGGGGTCAGTACCAAAGTTTCTCAGTCTCTTGCAGCAGCACTGATTTCATCAAAAGAGAATGGGATCTGGAATCAGGCGGTGTTAGAGTCAAACCTGGCTCTGCTTCTTAATAAACCTTGCTGAGCCTCCACTTCTTCCATCCTAGGGTCATGACAGAACACACCTGCAGGAAGGTGAATGGAGATGAGGCGGTAACACATACAGAGGTGACTGGCACACGGCACACAAAGGCTTCTTCCTGCTCTTTTGAGGTCTCTCTGGGGAGCTCAAGTCAGAAGTGAATTAATTTGTAACATCCTTAATTATTTCATGGAATCTACAGGAAATCCAAAGCATCCTGGTTTAGAAGAATCTTAGCCAGGTTATCAAGTCCAGGGGGCAGGAACTGTCTTTTTCACTGGGGTATTCCCATTGTGTAGAGACAGTAAGCCCTTGCAAATGAATGAATGAATGAATGAAAGCGTGGAGAGTTCCTGGCCCCAGCAACTCAATATTACCCTGAACGTAACCCAGACTGGCTACAGACCAGGTTACTGTCAAAGCCACCCATCAGAACTACATGAGCATCTCCTGAGGTGCCAGACCTACCTCCAAAACACCCCCACAGTCATTTCAGGGTCCCTGAACTCTGCAAGCTAAAAGAAGGTACGGCATGCTGAACCATCATGAACAAGCAGCAGGAATGGGAAGGAAGAAGTCCCAACCTGGCACCACAGAAGCAAGCTGCACAGCCAGCCTCAGCCCGGGTGCCCAGGGAAGATTCTGTTCCTTTTAAACTTTATCCCTCCCCTCTTCTTGGGGAGAGTATGACGGGGTAACAAATTCTATGCCCAGCCCCCGATTTACCTGCTCTCTTAAGAAGAAGAACTCATCTCTGCCTGTCCCAGAGTGCTTCCTAGTTAATTATTGAAAATTGCTATCAGGCACTTTACAAAATATAATATCCCTCTGGTGACTCTGGTAGGTGCCTCAGGAGAGTGGCAGCATTTCCTCTCCTGACTATTTTTACATTTTAAAAGGTTTAATTGAAGCACCAGAGCAATTCCCCTGGAAATTCCCTCCTCAATCTCTCCGATAAGCAGGAAACAAGTTCGAGCATCTCAAACCCCAGGTTCTGAGAAACAGGTGCAAGCCCTGGGCCCCACATCCCAAAGATAGCATCAGCTGACCTTTGGTCTATTGTTGTTGACCCACCAGCAATTTTCAGGAAGCAGATTTTGCAGAGGAGGTGAATTTAGTATGTGTAAAAAGATTTAGAGTGTAAACCATAAGAAAGTACAGGAGAAAGAAAAGCATAGGGGCCCCTTTCCCCAGATGGGGCAGTTTTTATCCCAGCCAGGGTCCCCTTCCCCTGATGGGGACAGGGGGACCTCACCATGCTGAGGCAGGAGGATTGGTTGAACTAAGGAGTTAGAGGCCATGGGGCCACAAGGAATCGGCATGTAGGTCCCTGGGGACTACATACCATCCAGTCCTTCTTTACTTTCTCATCTTCCTGGTCATCTGTGGGCCATCAGAATTTCACTACTCAGTTTTGAGAAGAAAGATTTAAACCTGCTCCCAATAAGGGTAAGCCTTGAACATCAGGTCAAGTGAAAGAAATCAGGCACAAAAAGCCACAAATCATATGGTCTATTTATATAAAATTTCTGGAATAGGCTAATCTATAGAGACAGGAAGTGGATTCATGGTTACTTGGGGATGAATGGGAGGACAGAGGAATGGGGAATGGTTAAAGGAGATGGATTTCTTTACTGAGGTGGTGGAAGCACTCCAAGATTGACAATGGTGATGTTTGCCCAACTCTGAAGATGCCCCAAACCAATCAATATTACACTTTCACATATGGTATGTGAATTGTATCTTAATAAAGCTCCTACAAAAAAAATCCTTTATGACTACTTTTAAAAATCACTTTATACTTTTATATAAAACTGTACATAATTCTTATTTCAATTCTATTCTAGAAAGAACACTCTGTGCATGGCTGGGCAAGTGAATGTATTTAATTGACATAATTCACAGTTTCCAACAGCTAATCCCAAGGATAACAGATTTTTAGCTGATTAATGATGTTAATAATGACTCTTCTTTTTAAAAACATTTCCACGATCAAGGAAATTTGGAAATGACAGAATTCAACAAATTCATGTAGACTCTTCTGCTGGAGGTTTGGTGTGTTAATAGGCAGAGACATGCACTGTGAATCTGTAAGGAGGGAGAAGAGCATGAGTGGTTTACCAAACTGATTAAACCTCAAAGCCTTTCTTTACAGAGCGTCACGCAGAATCAGCCTTCCATAACATGGGTGCTGGTAAATGCTGGTATCAGTCTCCAATCTCAAAAGGAACCCTGGAAATAAATCTTAGCATGCAAAAATTCATCACACAACTAACATCTGCATTTCCACGTCTGCATCAGTGTTTTTAAAGTTCACTCAAAACCATCACTTTTGCTTTCTAAATTCTTTTCACTCTATATTTAAGATTTTTAAATATAAAGAGTATGACTTATAATAGAAAGTACCTCTCTGGTGTAACTGGGGCTGCTTCTGTGGGATGGAATTTGTATTATTTTTCTCCTGAAATAGAAAGGCACTCGAAGAACATCTGAAAATCCTCAGTAATCCTTCTGTCCCTGGCCCATGGGTCAAACCTTTCTTTCAGAATTCCACTTTCTGCATTTCTCAGCAAAGATGTATTGGCAGACTAAGCTGGAATGCTTTCAAATTACTCAGACTTTATTAATTTTTACAAAATATGCTTTGAAGTATTATAATAAATCATTAAAAGTCAATGGCACATTAGGAATTTCTGAGCAAATGCTTGGGGGCCTTGCTCTTCCTCACTCCCTTGTTCTTCTCTCCTTGAATCATTACACAAAAGACAGGGATTCAGGATGACATCTCTCCCCTATCACTACCTCCCTGCTTCAGCTCTATTGCCCAGACTCATTTAGAAATAACAATGTAAGAGAGAAAGGAAGAGCTTCGAGCAGTGGTGCACACCTGCAGTCCCAGCCACCCGGGAGGCTGAGGCAGGAGGATTGGTTGAACTAAGGAGTTAGAGGCCAATCTAGGCAACATAGTGAAATTCCACCTCAAAAGGAAAAAAAAAAAATCAAGACAGATAGAATCTGAGAAAATCCTATGTTTCTAGGCTGAGGAAAGCATCAAGCAGGGAACCTTTAGATACTTACCTCAGGACAACACCTATCAGTAGTTCTGTCTGACAACTAGTGACAAGAATCACTTGTACAGGACTTCCCATTTTACACAGTACTGTCATATGCAGTATCTTACTTAACCCTCAAAAGAGCTGTGAGAGGGGTCTCCATTTTATAGATTGGGGCTGAGAGAAATTAAAAAACAGTCCAGATGTTCTCAGAATATTGTGCAACAATTTAACTCCAAAATTTAACTTCTTGAAATCAAAATGCAACTGTTAGAAAAACAGGCTAGGAAGAAATTAGGAAGGTCCTCAAAGGAAGGAAAAACTGGTACTTTTCCCTGCACGTGGTGTTATTGTTCATATTTGTCTTACCTAATAGTATATAGGCACAAGTAAATAGATTAGCCATTTCAGGTTTTCTTAAGAAATGTTCCAAGTATGTCTAATCATCAAAGGAGTTCAAATAATTGCATCAGATGTTTCAGTTGCCGTTTTTACCCAGTCTTAGCAATGTTCATTGTGCAGTGAGTCTAGAATCTGGTTTAAAGAGGTCTAGAGCAGTTAGTCACCAAGGATACAAATAAATAAATTACCAAACCTTAGGTCTCCACTTCCAAGCTTTCTGCTGGAACAGGAAGCAACGAGAAAGACAGTTTTATGTTCAATATTGTGTATTAATTTACTAATGTAGTTGATGCACATTAACTGATTAGGCATTAATGCCAGGGGCTGGGCAGTCAATCAACAAAGAAGATATGTCCTTACATTTACAGAGCTGATAGCCAAACACAGCGCGAAGCATCCAGGTAAATTCAGCACCATATACTAAGGACAGATAAAAAGCACAGAGGGCTGGGCACGGTGGTTCATGCCTGTAATCCCAGGGGCTCAGGAGGCTGAGGCAAGAGGATCAAGAGTTCAAAGTCAGCCTCAGCAAAACTGAGGCGCTAAGCAACAGTGAGACCCTGTCTCTAAATAAAATACAAAATAAGGCTGGGGATGTGGCTCAGTGGTCAAGTGCCCCTGAGTTCAATCCCAGGTTCCAAAAAATAGAAGAAGCAGCAGCAGCAGCATAGAGGAACCTGGCACACCTGTAATTCCAGCAATTCAGGAGGCTGAGGCAGGAAAGCAAGTTTGAAGTCAGCCTCAGCGACTTATTGAGGCTCTAAGTAGCGAAGTGAGACCCTATCTCAAAATGAAAAAATAAAAAGGACTGGGTGTGGCCTTGTGGTTAAGCAATCCTGAGTTCAATCCCAGTACCGGAAAAATAAAAGAAAAAAGAAAGAAAAAGACAGCACAGAGGGGTATGGGAGCATCTCCCCTCAATAATTTAGGGCTAGGAGGTTTCATTGGGGAGGTGACTTACCGGCCAAAGGGAGTGGGGAGTACAGTGGCATCAGGACTGGAAGCAGGATTCTAATCCTAGCTTTGCATTGGACTTACCTGGAAAGGTTTTAAAACTCCTGCTTCTGGATCCCACCCAGGCCAATCCCCTTGAGTCTCTGTGAGTGAGGTCCACCCAGGAAACTGTCTTGATAACTCTCGCCAAGTGAATCTATTATGTGGCCAGGTTTGAGAATCACTGGTTTACACCTTTACTAAAAAGATTTCAGAGTGGAAACCATGTGAACCATCTCCTCATTCAATTCCTCTGGATAAATTCAAAACAAGTAATTTTGAAATTATTTCTAATATCTATCACATGACTCCTCTTGATTATCTTAGATTTCAAAAATATTTATGGGGCAAGGAAGACACATTTTCTTTACAAATACATGAATCTGAATAGTCAGAATATTGCCCGCTTTTCCTATCAGTTGGGAGAAAAAGATTTTGAGGGATATCCTGATCTCCTTTCGGGGGCAGCAGGAGAACTACTGTACCTTGGCCTGCTGAAATTATGAGTGGTCGTGTGACCTTCGTGAACTGGCACACAGTGAGCAGAAGAGATGTGTGTGCCTTCCCCAAGGAAGTGTTTTTGAGCTGGCCATCTCACATTCTCCTCCCCACCTCAGTGATCCCTGAGAACTTGTGTTGAAGGGAGCCATCAAAGGACAAGGGACGGTGAGGTCAGAGCAGCCAGGACCACTGAGTCCCTGCACAAAGAATGCGTGCCTTGCAGCGCCACGGAGCATTGGTTATTTAAACCACTAAGATTTTAGAGTATTACTGCAACATGACCTAGCCTCCCTGAATAATTACCTTCTCACCTAGGTAGATGTCTATTTTTTGTTTTCTTCCCCTGATCCACAGATATTCTGCTTGCATACTTATCCATGACCAGTATTGCCATTAATACTTTTCTTTGTTTCCCTGTGTTTTCCTTCCTGTCTTTCTGCCTTTCTCCTTAAGCACTGTTTGAACCGAACTGGAGGTATGGTTCTGAACATATCTATATCATCTAGATATAGATATTGAGTATCATCTAGATGTTCAACAAAGTATTAATGATAATAATGCCTATACTATTAACATTAAGTAGGTTTTATATATACCAAGTACTTATTTTTGGTGATATGTTAAGGTCCCGCTGAATATGAAGTTGCCATTTGAAAATCAAAAACACATGAAACATATGGATAGATAGATAGATAGATAGATAGATATAAAATGAATCTGAATGTTCCATAGTTCCAGGAGGGATCCTAAAGGCAGCAATAGATGAATAGCAGTAAGCTTGCCAAGCATACAGATTTCTAAAAACCATTTTCCACTAACAGAAGAAGTTTTTAGGGGAAAAAGTATGACTGATCTCAGGACTGGAACAGAAGAGTACAATCCTTTTTTTTTTTTTTTTTTTGTACCAGGTATTGAACTCAGAGACGGTCAACCACTGAGCCACATTCCCAGCCCCATTTTTTATTTTATTTAGAGACAGGGTCTCACTGAGTTGCTTAGCACGTTACTTTTGCTGAGACTGGCTTTGAACTCTTGATCTTCCTGCCTCATCCTCCCGAGCCCCTGGGATTACAGGCACAATTCACATTTTATTTTTTGGTCTGAAAGATAATTGAATGCCAGGAAGTAATGGAGTATACAAAAATGATGAGGGCATGTTAGAAGGACACAGAGGCCAGTTTGAACCACCGGGCAAGTTCAAAACTACATGATCATCAAAATAAATTAGTGATAAGGACTGATTCCAACCCATTGAGTCAAATATCATTGAGCCCATGAATATTTAAGCAAACACATAAAGAGGGAGAAGAGAAAGTTCTTTATGCCAGTTATTGAATGCAGAAGAAGTGATAAAAATAAAAACTCATCATTTGGCATAATCACAGTAATGATTAATTTAGGCAAGAAACATCAATGAAGGTAAAATCTATAGGCAAAAGTTAGGTGGCAAATGGAATGTTTCCATAGTCTCAAAGTATCTTTCCATAAAAGACATTCATTATAAAGGGAAAAGAATAACTTTGCTGTGAAGCCACCCAGCAGAAACCACTTTATTCAAGGGCAGCATCAAATGCAACATTGTCATATTAAAATCAAGTACCACCTGAAAGGATGCTAGAAGAATTGAACATTGTTTTAGATATTCCTGCCAAATCCACATCCATAACCAGATTTTCTGAAGAAACAGCAGAATATCCTAAGTTAAGAAACATTCTAAAAAATAATTTTCCATTGTCTTAAAAAAGGTTACAGTCATGAAATTCAAGGAAGTACCAAGGAATTGTTCTGAACTGAAAGAGGCTGAAGAGGTGTGACCTCTAAAAGCAACATATTATCGGGACAAGAGGCAAAACTTGAATGGGGTCTCAGTGTTAGACCCATATGAGTTCTTTAAATTGTTCCCGCAACTTTTCTATAATTTTGAAATTATTTCAAAAAATAAAAAATTATTATTTTTATAACTTATAATTCTTTGGTAGATTTATAACTCCAGTTTACATTAAAAATGGAAAAGATAGAAGTTTGAAAGAAATCTCAAATTATATAAGCTATGATTCATTTACTTTATTTTTAATAAATGATCTTAATTTTTTAAAGCCCACCCTTATCGAATCTTCTCTAGGTTGCAATTTCACATTG